AGGCGGCACGTGGAGCCCGCGGAGTGACTTGCGGCCCCCGATCCGGACTCACGTAGGCTTCCCGCCCCCGGCAGGAGAAGCCGGGAGGCTTCGGGGCTCCAGCCTGGGAATTCGAGACCCGGGCTCCGATCCCGCCGTTTGCTGGGCGATCTTCTCTGCTCCTCTCTTGCTGCCTTTTGTAGACAAAAGATAATATGGGACTCATAATGCAAATCTCAGAATTATTGTGAGAATTAAGGGAAGGACGTAAACCGCTCTGGTCAGTGGCACCCACAAAATAATCAATCACTGAATCAATGGAATAGTTACACTTACTGCCTACCTCCCTTCGCCCTAGAGATCTGGGAGGGGAGGCCTGTGTCCTGCGCTTTAAAGCTGCAGGTGATGGATAGGAGGGATCGGCTTTGAGTTTAGGAGCCTCCCAGGAGCGGGCGCCCTTTGTCTGTCTCCTATTTCCTCGCGGGATCACCGGGCGCCGCCACGCAAGCTGTTGGTTTCTAACCCCTTCTCCTGGGAGCTGTATTTTTCAGCCTGGTTTTAAAACGGGGAGAGGGGCTTTCCTTTTCCTCTGGCAGGGAGGGAGTATGTTTGGCATTAGGCTTGCTTCGAAAATGCAGATCCAAGTTTGAGAAGCACAGATCTTTCCAGCTGCCCTTTCAGAACCGGAATTTATTTCCTTTTCCTGTGCATTCAATCAACAACGGATTAGCGAAGTTAATCTCCAGGGAGCGTGTCTGCTAGAGAGTGGGGTGTCTCCAGGGGATGTCATTGAACGAAAAGATGAGCTCCTTGTGCTCGTAGGTCTTGCTTCCTGTGGTCAACTGGCACCCAGTTGAAGACCGTTTTAAGTCCCGGAGATGGTGACTAGGGAGAGCAAGGGGACCTGGTCTGATGCCTGTACTTGGTCGAACAGATTTTAATATAGACGTCAAAACCAATTGCAATGCGCTCCAAGGGGCCAACATTTATCTATCTATCTATCTATCTATCTATCTATCTATCTATCTATCTATCTATCTATCTATCTCATCTATCTCTGTTATTTATAATGCTTCTTAACCTAAACGAGCTAAAACATGGGATTCTAAAATCTAGAATGAAGCATTCTAGTCATGATGGCATTTCTCATAACGGAATTTGTACCTGTAACTAATATTCTCCACCTGCTTTCTAGGATGAGTAGCTTTTCAGATGGTGCCATTTGTTGACTTCCTGAGTCATCACTACAGCCTTTGCTGACACTGTTGAAAACCTCCTTTGTGACATCACCAACTTCATCTGTATTCCATGCTATAGCCTCTATCACAATATTTTTCCTTTTCTGCAACCTACAATCAAGTAACCTTAAAGAGAAAGCCAATTTTAGCTTAGGCTGGTGTTGGTATAACTGTCCTTCCATTAGACTATAAGAACTTGGAAAGAACCGAACATCCAGATAGATTTTTTAAGCATACTTTTATAGGGGAGATTGTTTTGTTTTCCTGTTTCTGATTTCCTTACATTATAGCATAAGCATATTTTTATAGGGGAGATTGTTTTGTTTTCCTGTTTCTGATTTCCTTACATTATAGCATTTAGTTACTGAGAACAGGAGAAACAGCAGCAAAGAGTGTCTTCTGGCTATGACTGTTGGATAAACAGAACAAAGGTTGATGAGTACTAGCTATTCTATTTCAACAATGCCTGGACAGAAGCTTTTATCTCTCTCTGTGTCCTCAATGGTATTGTGGTGGTTACAGTCTCTGTTCCTGTGCTTTGCCATGCCACGTCTCCAGATCTCCCTCTTCTCCAGGTGTGAAAATCAACTCAGTCAATGCTAGTATGGTCTGGGAGCAGGATAGTAGAATTCACAGCCAAGTTAAGGTCAGAGAGAGCAGAATCCCACAAGGCTAAAATGTCTGGACGTCAAGAGCAAAATCTTACCATAATTTCAATTCCAAGAACACCTACTAAACATGTATTTATGAATAAGTCATGATGCTGGATGGAAGTAAAGACAACAACATTTATTTAAAATGTGCTAGGAGCCTGCAACTGGGAATGTATTTTAATTTAATCTTCACAATTCTAGGAGGTAGGTAGTAGTATTAACCTCACTTTTACAAACACATAATCTGAGATTTAGAAAGATGAAGCTAATAAATGGCTTGGCCAGAGTAAGAATCATGGCTGCCTAGTTCTAAAGCCTATATTATTGCTACTAGGTGAATCTGCTTATTAAGCATGACATCTTTGTTAAAAAGATCGATTTTGTTCAAAGGGAAACTTCTTAAAGAATACAATAGGGGCAGTCATATACTTTGTGAACTCGGAGTCTTGCTTTTTTCTGTACTTGTTAAAGGACTAATATTTTGTTCAAAAGCTACTATTTTCTATTCTAGGACTAAATGCTAGATATGTTCTAAATACGTTACACTATCTCATTTAATCCCTTAATAAAGTTAGGAGACCAGTACCATTATTACTTTATTTTTCAGATTAGAAAAAACAAAGTAAATATTTTTTCATGCAGTTAAGTTGTTGGTGAAGGACTGTATGATTCCAGGACCTGTTAACCGCTATGCTATGTTACCTCTTGGGGATAGAGCCCTAGATTTTAAGTTCACACTTCAAAAAAATGAGTTCTAAGGGGCGATGCCCATAAAAGAAGGTGACCCAACGTGGCGAGTACACATGTATAGATGACAAAGCTTGTCGTACCATCATGATTTATGCAGCTAAAAGTAATTTTTGTCCTCTTCCTTGATTCTTTTTTTAACCACTAAAATTTTCAGACTGTTAGAGATAAACATGATGTTAGTTATCATAGTCTCCACTCCCACCGTTTTACAGATAAAAAAGTAACAACCGGAGAAGGGAAGTGACTAACCCAAGGCCATATAGCTTCCAGCTAGGAGAATGCAATACAAATACTCTTCCTACCATAGGGCACCTCCTTTGTATTCCCTTTTAAAATACTTTAGTGTGTTTCCCTCACCCCTCCCTTTTTTCTCTAGCTCTCTCTCTATCCTTCTCTTTTTTCATATCTCCAGTTCCAAACACTATCCATTCTCTCCCCAGCTCTTCAACTATGAAAACTAACTTACTTAGCTATGTGGCCAACTCTAACCGCCAGCCTTAACCTCTCTGAGCCTCTGTATCATGTGATGCCCCTTCCTGATAGACAGCCTTACCTTTCAGGGTACTTCTCTGCCCTATGCTCAAAAGAATTCAGTTCTTCTTTCCTGTCCCAGGTACAGATTTCTGTCTTACAGCCCACACCACTTTATACCCCTTATATGTTTAGAAATGTGTTCCCTGCCTGCTATAGTTAGACTCCACAGAAGAAAAGATCCCTGTTTGTTGAACTTAGTATCCTGATACTTAACTGATCTGAAGGGATATTTATTGAATGCATGAATGGCTCTTCAAAATCTGAACTGATCTGTCTTTCCTGAGATCAAGCCTTTGAATCTTTCCTGAATGCCTTGTTGGAAACTTGAGCTCAGTTATGTCTGGAATTATGCTTATCTGCTTACTCCATTATCTCAATATCTTACCTGACTTCCTTGTTTTGACTAAAGCAGTTATTCTCAACCTTAATGTATTAAAATACCTGGGTTGCTGTAAAGAGTTTACAAGGCCTGAGTCCCACCTCAGAGATTCTGATTTAAGTAGTCTTGGATGAGTTTTGGCCATCAAGATTTTTAAAGGTCCCTAGATGGACTAGTGGTAGCATAAATTTCTAAATGGGATATCTTGAAGTTATCGCCGACTTTTATTTCAGTCAGGTCTGGATTTCTCTGTGTTTTTCTTTATCTCTCTTTCTCCTTGCTTATTTTTTTATTTCCTATATAGACACCGCCCAGTCCAGCAGTCCTTAAATGCCATAAGCCTTATTACTGTACAGACATGTAATTGGATTGAAGTTCATATTTTCTCAAACATAGCTGAGTCCTTATACATCTCAAGACATATTATTGCTTCTTAAAATTGAACCCCCTTTTTTGAACAATAAATATTGCCCATTATTTTTGAAAATATAGATATATGTTGACTTTATTTCCAGTATTTCTTATACTAAATCTTTGCAACTCCTGATTTATGGAAATTAAAGAACTGCCTTTCTTCTCTTTCCGATCTTGGAAAAACCCTCTATCAGCTTCACAGGAGCGGGCTTCTCCACCCAACCCCACCCCCAGGACTATTTTTTGTTCCATTTTTACGGGCTTTAGGCTGAAATCAGAGACTCAAGATGAGAGAGAAAAAAGCACAGGAAGAGTGAAGAGAGGTAACATGTATTAACTTCTTACTGCATCAATGAACCTCATAATAATATAAAAAGGAATCATTATTTCCATTTTACTGACTGACTTGTCTGAAGTCAATCAGATATGGGAGATGACTTTAGGTTTTTCTCATTTCAAAGCTTAGACACCTGTTCCATTGCATTACGCCACCTCCAAGGATCCATCATTGATCTTGGGAAGGATCTGCATCCTGGAGTCCAGTGTTCCCCATGAAGCAGTGCCAAGTGGAAGTTGTTGATTGCTTTTAAACCTTTATTGTCCCCCAAACATTAAACTTTAAACCTCTTTATATGTACACTTAAGAAGCTTTATTGAGATCAAGAACTAAAAGGTACCTGTTGGTTAAATTCGTCATCTCAATGGATTCTTAGGAAGCTTAAAACTAAAGTTTTATCTGAAAATAAACTAAAAGATTCAATATTTTTATAACTTAAGCCAACAGGCTTTCTGTGGGTTTTACAATATCACTGCTTTACACAATTCATTTGGGATTTTTCATTTAATTCCTATGTGTTCCTTTGGGACTCTAGTTTTATTTTGCAAGTCAGTTTAACTGGGTTCAAATTGGTTCTGTGGTGATCAAAATAGTTTCAACTTCAAAGGGTTATTTAGAAAAATAATGATATATGTATTTATAGCACATAGAATGGTTTTGGGCATATAATAAACCTCAGTAAATATTAACTA